TCTACCTAGGATCTTCCACACAGATCCCCCTCCGAGTGGTTGACAGTGGTAGCCAGGCACCATATAGTTCTTCTTAAGACCACGTTCTTTAAGGAATTTACTCTCCTTCAGTGGTAAGTCTATCCAGCTGAGCACTAACACCTCCACAACATCCCCTTTCCAGCCAGGAAACCATGGGGAGCTACTTACCACAGTCAAGTCAGAACATGTCTGATTCCAGTTCTAAAGGTAAGTATGTGTCTATCTCTCTGTGCCTGTGCCTCATGCAATTATAGTTTTTTACTGAATGACTCAACCTTAGTAAGCGAGAGCTTCATTTATTATTTTCCCACATAATTCCAGATTTGAAAAGTTTATATCCAAAGCTTTTCTACCCGTAAGTCCTGGTTATCAGAGCTTTTGTTGATGTTAACCTACCAAGTTGGTGTAATTATAGCCAAAATATTAGCGAGACACGCAGTGGGGTATGGGTGTGCTCCTTCCTAAGTGAAGGGTTCACAGGTGCTCATTTATGACACCCAGGAATGACATCTATTCCAACCTACCTGATGACCTGCTCCTGTAAAGATCAACACACTGCTGTCAAGTGGATTCCGACTCCTAGCGACCCCAGGACCGAGCAGAGCTGCTGCAAACGGTTTCCGAGGCTGCCACATCTTTCCTCTGTGGAGCAGCTGGTAGGTCAGAAGCATCAACCTTTTGGTTAGAGACCAAACACTTAAGCACTGCACCACGGCCCAGGAAACCCTATGGGGCAATTCTACTCTGTCACACAGGGTCACCATGAGTATGAATCAGGGCACACAATAACACACAGTAACAAAGTACAGCCTTCTCATTAAACGATGCACAACGATGCTAGGAACCTATCTATAAATGAGAAGTCCCTGGTGGGAAAAAGGGTCCATGCACTCAGCTGCTGAGACAGGTTGGAGGTTCGAGCCCAGACAGAGGCACCTCAGAAGAAAGGCCTGGAGACCCACTGCTGAAAAACCAGTCCCTGGAAGCCCTAGGGAGCACAGTTCAGCTCTGACACACTCAGGGTTGCCGTGGGCTGGAATCAACTCCATGGCAACTGTTCGGTTTTTATCTGAGATGGGGGAACAACAGTCACCACACAAAGAGGTGGCTGTGAGGCGCCCTTACGCACTTAGGTTAGCTGAGCTCGCACCTGCGGAAAAAAGCCTCAAAGTCAGGGTCACGCGACACACAGGAAAGTTCTGAAGTTCCTTTGAGCAGAGCAAAACCCATGGAATAGTTAAACTTCACTGTGCTCATTTTATGAAGCTAAATCCACAAAACACAGAAAGCAAATAAATTTAAAAGCAGCTTACTAGGGAGCACACACTACTGAGTGGAATATGTTGTGCTCAACTCTTCAACAAAGAAGAGAGAAACCAACTGCTCAACTGTTAACAAGTGAGTCAGTTAGATCTGATGGAATTCTGAAGCAACTTTTAACTGGCAAGGAAAACCATCAAGCTAACTGTGAGTGATTCTCTAGACAGGATCTTATTTTTGAGTAAATTGTATTCTGTACTCAGAACTGTAAGTACAAAAACAAAAACTGTAAGAGTCAACATTATAAACCTCTTTTCAACTGCCAGATGAACAACTGTGCTAGACTGAATGGCAAAGACGCATGGCAGAGAGAGAGAGGCCTGTCACCCCCGTCCGTGGTCACTGTTGCCAGCAGCTGCACGTCCTGGAACGTATTTCACAGGACACTGCACCTTCCCACAAAAGTTCTCTCACAGGTTGCAGAAAGGATTTCCATTACAAGAAACAAG